CTCAGGCAGGTTGGACCCCAGGGCTCAGTTCTGAGAGGAAACTCCCTTTCTAATTTTCCTCATAAAGGCTCTAATGAAGACTAATGACGGAGCAAGGTGTGTGTGTGTGTGTGTGTGTGTGTGTGTGTGTGTGTGTGTGTGTGTGTGTGTGTGTGTGTGTGTGTGTGTGTTTTAACAGCCTGGCACTTCTGTCTGAGAATGTCTCTGTTCTCTCCCTAATCTTTTTTTCTTCCCTCCATCATTTCATTTTCATTCAGCTCTTTTCCTGCTTTCCTTCCACCCGCCTCTCTCTCTCTCTCTCTCTTTCTCTCTCTCTCTCTCTATCTGTCTCTCTCTCTCTCTTTGTCTCTCTCTCTCTCTCTACCCCTCTCTCTGTCTCTCTCTGTCTCTCTCTCTCTCTCTCTCTCTCTCTGTCTCTCTCTGTCTCTCTCTCTCTCTCTCTCTACCCTCTCTCTCTCTCTCTGTCTCTTTCTCTCTCTCTCTCTCTCTCTCATTTGTTTTCTTCCTGTTTTTTTTTCTCTCTGACATTTTTTAAACTTTTTATCTCTTTAGAAAGTGTATTTCATTCTGTTCTTGTTGGTTTTATCAAAGTTTCCATCCACACGTAGCTCAAGTTTTAACCACGTTTTGGAGGAAGAAGCTGTTACACGAGCATCAGTGTGACATCGGTATCGAGCGATATCGGCCCTTTAAATACTGTGTGATGAACCGATGTTTATCTCTTTAGGTTGCATCGATTTAATGCTGACATCTAGTACACATCACTTCTGATTCAGAGAGGAGGTTTTTCATTTGGAAGTCACCTGTTTTTTTTAAACTCCGTCTTTGTGGTCAAACACAACGTTGGCATTGTGAAAAAGAATTCATAAAAAAAACAACCAAATTGTTATTTAAAACATCGTCAGCAGCCCTAGTTTTCACAATGGTTGCATCTCTATTATCGATGTATTTTTTAAACAAAAATGACTTTTTGTCAGGAAAGAGGTAATGTTGCTCCACGGCTAAACTTTCTCTAAAATTTATTTTTGTTTGAATCAAAAAAATTCTCCTGTAAAAAAACAAACAGAAACAAAGCACATGATGCATTCAATGTCCTGCTTTTCTTTTTCTCTCTCCCACAAACATTGAACGCATCATGTCCGATCTTCTTGTTTTGTTTTTTTGCCGAACAGAAGAAGAATGGAGTGGTTAAATCGACCAGTGGCAGTGTTTTCAGGAGGATTTCCTCAAAATCAATAACAAACCTCTTCATGAAGGGTCACAGACATGTTTCTCACTTTTTATCTTTTCATTACCCATAACCCCCTGCTCCGGTCTTCATCTCCTCTCTTTAAAACGTGCATCATTTCATCATCTTAACACCTCCTTCTCTCCTCGCTCTGCCCATCATCTCCTCCTTTGTTTCTTTTTGCTTCTTTTTTTATTCTTCTTCTTAATTTTCGTCACGTCGCCGCTCCGATCCTTCAATCTCTTCCTCCCCGCGCCGTCACCTTTTTCATCCTTCCTCGTTGCCTCCTTTCGCTCCCCATACATCCTTCTTCATCTCTGGCTGCTCTTCCTCTCCGTCCATCGCTCTGTGTTTCCGCCTCCATTAGGGGAAAATGGAAAAAGTGACATCAGCTATTTGGTAAACGGAGAGAGATGGAGAGAGACGGAGAGAGAGAGAGAGAGAGAGACAGAGGGGGGAGATGAAATGGAGGAGAGAAAAATGAAAGGCAGGGATCAAAAGAGTGACATTAGGAGTGATTGTGAAAGAGAGAAAAGGAAAACAAGAGAGGAGAAAGAAAAGTGACAGAGGGGGAGAGGGATTAAAGGATGAGGGAGAGAGAGGTAGAGATCCATTAGAGGGAAAGAGAGAGAGAGAGACAGAGAGGCTTCACCTCATTAACCTCGTAATGCAGAGTAAATATACAGTCTAAATGGAACAGAGACACCGTGTGTGTGTGTGTTTACTCTCAGGCTTCTGTGTGAGTGTGTGTGTGTGTGAAATACATCACCAGAATACCAGAGCCACTATTTGTATTAAGTGTGTGTGTGTGTGTGTGTGTGTGTGTGTGTGTGAGAGAGAGTTTGTTAAAATCCCAGAACGATAACACAACATCATGGAAAGATTAAATGTTATAAGCTGGTTATTTTCCAATCGAAAAGACACAGATATCTGCAACTTGATGCAGAAATCAAAAGGTGAAAGGGCCGATGCACTTCTACATTTTTCATGTTTTTAATGCAAAGACAAAAGTGATTCATGTTTTTGTATGTTGAAGTTTTTACCTTTTCTTGTGGCTCTCCGGTCCAAGATCTGCGTCTGCGACTGGGGATGTAAATCTTTGAATAATCGAGTCAGAACTATTTAGTTTTTGTTCTTTAAAAAGGCTCAATGATCCCCTGAAATACTTGGACGTTGTGGTCTTTGCAAATGTTACTGAAACAGGAGTCTGGAACTACTTTCCTCTCTGGATGAATCCACCTTGGGACGCTCGAGTGAGTATCAGGAAAGTGTTTGTAGTATTAAGGACACTAGCTGGCATGACATCTAAGAAAAGCGTGGGCCTCATTGTGGCCGTACTAGGTTAAGATTCTGGATACTCAACACAGATGAGTCGAGTATCACATCGCAGGCTTGATCGAGGAGGAGAAACGGGGTCGTAGTGCGTCACATGAACAATCTGTTTTAATACTGTAATAACGATATAATACTGTTACTACATTTCCTTCAAGATGGTTCATCCAAAGTGTTTTTGATCCCGGGACCTTTTCCCTAGTGCCTTAATGACGTCATATCTAAAAGACAAATTCCCCATTCCCCGCTGAACCATCACTGTGTGTTGGGTATTCTTTGCAAACCTTTTTTGTTGTTGTTGCTAAATCTGCATCATCTGTCCAGAGTACATCCAAGATATGGTGAACATTTGGTTCTCACAAGCCCTCGTTTCCACCAAACGGTCCAGTTCAGTACAGTTCTGTTCTGTTACGATGAACCCTGATAAAGGTTTGGTTTCCACAGCCAGCCGTACCCTGACTTTGTAGGCGGGGTGGCAGTAACCTCATCAGCAGCACGACACAATGTAGCCCGACCAATAAATTCAACGAAGAAGAAGAAACGCAACACAGTAAACCAAGGGCAACCAATAGAGGACGTCCAGCATCGGTCTGCACCTTTTGGTCGTCGATGGGGCAAAGAACAAAAACAGCCTGGAAATTACTCTCTCACAATCCGTAGCGCGCTGTGTGTTTGACCTTTATTATCGCTGTTGTACAGGAAGTGAGGATTCTTTTGACCAATCAAAAGACTGTAATGTGTCTATCTCCAACCTTTTGGGTCATATCGGTTCGCTTGGCGCCCCAACAGAAGGGTAGCGAAAAAGGAGGAAGGTACAGATCGGTTCTTTTGGTAGAAACGGGGCTAAATGTTGTTTCTATGGTTTGCAAGTTGTTGTTTTTTTCTGTAAGAAGGGGCAAAGAACAAAAACAGCCCTTGAAATTACTCTCTAGAAATCAACGGGATATTTAAACATGGCACGCTTTGTGTGTTTGTCATTTATTACCGCTGTCGCACAGGAAGTAAGGATTTAAATCGAAGGATTGCAGTGTGTCTAGTTCAAACCTTTTGGGTCATATCGGTTCGCTTGGCGCCCCAACAAAACCCTAGCAAAAAAGAAGGAAGGTTCGGATCAGTTCTTTTGGTACCATTCCCGACTTTTGACAGTTGAAATGCCAATAAATGAACCGGATCCATTGGTAGAAACGGGGCTAAATGTTGTTTCTATAAGTTGTTGTTTTTTGCTGTAAGAACTGTTGGCTAAGACTGTGTGAGGTAGCACTCTTTCCCAGATAGCAGATTTTAATACCTTCAAAACATGGTGACAAAGTCCGGTGTTTGAGAACACTACATGTAATGGCTTTTCTTGTGTCTTTTGAGACAGCTTGAACATGATGATAAACTGTCTCATTTGTCTACAAGCAGTAACACATACCATCAAAATAAATCGTAGATGTGAACGATGTGTGTGTGAGAGTGTAACACACGATCAGACAGCAGTCATTATAATACTGTATATTTGCAGTCAGCTCAAACCCAGAGAACAGTGACAGACTGAGAGATCATCAGGAGAAAAAAAATCATGAAACAAAAAAAACAAGAAAACGCTGAATGTTGTTTCTATCTACAAGGAATATCCCTTTAACCCCCCCAAAACCCCGCCCACCCCACACTGGCCCAACCCCGCCCACCCACCTAACCCCTCCTCATCCCCCCTCCCGTACATTTTTCAGATAGTAAATAACAACGAAACAAACAAATAAAAACACGCGGTGGAATAAAGAAAACTGCAACACAACAGTCTGCACTCGTAATAGGTCAGAAAAACCAGGGGATAAAAAGTTTCTTTGTGTTTGCTTTAGATGAGGAGCGCTTGATTTCTACAACTGAAGAGAATCATGGAAAGTCATGATAGAGTTGGGAAAATCAAGCTCTCTTAGTTTTTAATCACAAACACCAGAAACTGGATGTTTCAGGTCAGGGGAGTCAAACAGGGCTCAAAAGGTGAAAATGTCCAAAGTGAAGGAATAGAATTCAAAGTACCTTTTTAGGATATAATATCGTGTCTAAAAATCACTCCATCATAATAAAAAAAGGTTTTTTTTTTGTTTTGTTTTTTTAAACTTTTGCATCGTTTGAGAAAACTGATTTCACAAGTTAAGGGTGATAGAAAACATGTTATACATTGAAAAGCTGCATCCAACACTTTCAGAGTAATGCCTCCTTACAGACAGAAGAAGAGAAAATAAAGAGGGGAAAAAAGAGATATAGAAGAAGAGGGAACAGGGAAGGAATGAAGCAAAGAAAGTGAGGATGTTTAAGAGAGAGCCAAATGACAACATAAGACAAGCTTTCCCATGCATTTTTTTCAGTCCCTGTACGGAAAACAAAAATGAATGAAACGTGAGAGACAGAAATAGCTTCTCAAGTTGTTTTCCTCCTGTTTTTCTTCAGTTTTTTCCCCCCCCCATCGATGTTTTCTTCCACTTCTTTTTTTTTCAGAAAATGCTCTTCTTCGAGGCCCGAGCTCCTCGGAAAGGCTGATTATCGTCCAATCAGAGGAGGGTTACAGTGAGCCAATTTAGTTCACTGATGTTGCGTCAAATCCAGAGATGGGTCACAAAACGTCAATTTTCTTTTAGAGCGTAAAGAAGAACCTTTAGTGTTTTCATTAAACCGTTATTGTCTTTTCTCCACCTTCAGAAACAGTTGTTTGGTCCTGTGGATCAAATATTTCCCATTTAAAAGAACCAGTTATTCGACCCAAGCGTTTCCACCAAGCTGACTCTTGACTTTGTCTGTCCAAATCAAGTCCAGTTCATTTCCTTCATAATGATCCTCTTGTCCCTGCTTTTGCTCGGGAATAATGCGTATTTGTCAGTTTTCGTACCAATCAATGGATGAAAGTCCTGATGCAGGGAGAAAAATGGGAATGAATGGTTTTAAGTTTTTCCAAAAAGATGAAGAAGAAGAAAGAAGTAGACACACCTCCCCCATGTAAGTCCAAAATTGGGGGTTTTGCATGTCTGTGTGGTCTCACTGTTTATCGGAGCAACATTTAAAAGTTTGCAAAGATAGAATCCCGCCGGGGGAGGTCGTTGCGGTGGGGATCCGGGCTGCCGTAGAAACCGGGCTGGTGGAGTTCTTCTGTGCAGGAGGGGGCGGGAACACGTTAAGGAAGGGGCGGGGTTTGTGAAGTTGGGAGTCTTTTGTGTTCCTAGAACATCATGGGGGTCTTGAGAAACGGCCGGGATTCTGGGGGAAACAAAAAAACAAAGAAATAACGGTAAATAAGCAAAGTAATACATTTCAGTTCTTTTTTATCTTGTCCGTTTTTGAAATTTCAAAACGAGCCGGCTCAGATTTAATTGGCTATTTTCTAACCAACAGTCCAAAACTAAAGATTTTCAATTTGCAAAAGAAGTAAGTGAGTGTCTTTATGACTTCTACAGTAGAACCGTGTTTGTTGTCATGTCGAATTCCACTTCATCTAATTTTTTTTTAAGTGTGGTGTTCCTCAAGGTTCCTTTCTAGGCCCACTATTTTTTTTTTCAATTTACATAAACCTCAGCAAGATAATTCAGAGCAATGTGTTCTCTCACCACTTACTCTCAACAGTATTTCCAACTGAAATGGGAAAGAACCAATCACAAGATAGCAGACGGGACATAACGTTGGGATTAATTTGATTGGATCGTTAGCTTTGCCAAAAGCTTTTTTAATTGGTCGAAAAATTAGTCACTGCTCCTGTGTGAAGGGTTGAGTCATCAGACATTTGAAATGTTCTACAAGAAGAGAAAATTCAGTTATTTTGATTTAAAAATACTCAGATGATGCTTGATGAAATAAACATTTAACACATGGGGACTTTAACGCTGGATGTCAAAACTTTTAAGGGTTCTAAAACGACAAATGGGAAGTCGTAATTTTTGGTAAACCTCAAGTTTTTCCACTAAACAATAACATCAAACCGAAATCTGGGAGACATTTTTGAAGCAGGATTTTATCCTCTCTCTCATTGCATTGCTGTAATGCACTTTTAACAGGTGCTTCTGTTTCTATCATTCTGTGGTCGCAGCTTTCAACCCATTTAAATGCAAATCTATTCTGCAACATGTCCATAAGAACTTCATACTTTGATCATGATTATTACAGCAGAAGAGTTTTAGGCTCAAAGTGTTGCGTCTTGTTCTCCCTTTATGCTGCATCCGTTTATGATACAAATCTCAAATCTCCAATGTTGCCCCATCGTCTCCTTCTCTCCCTCTCTTTTTTTTGCCTCTCTTTCTTTCTCTCTCATTTCACCTCCGTCGTTCTCCTTCCGCTCCCCGTAGTGCTGTTTCTGCACCCACCCACGCCGCCTCACGTGCACACACAACCATGCATGTAACACAAAGACACATACACACACACACGCGTGCACCTCTTCCTCTCCCCGCGGTGTCATTGTTTTCTGCCAACGTTGCAAAGTGTTTACATTTCTGCATAACAGCAACCATAAACCTGCCCTCCCTCGTCTTCCTCCTGCCCTCCTCCACTCTTTTTCTCCTCTTCCTCTTCATCTTAACCCCTCGTTTGTCCTCTATTCATCACCTTTGTCGGGTTTTTTTTTTCTAGATATAAAACAGGTTTCAGGTCTGCATGTTGGAGGGGGAAAAACTTTCTTAAATTTTCTCTTTCATCTCTCGCTCGCCCCTCGTTTCCTCCTTCGTATTCCCCTCCTCTCCTCCACTTCATCTCCTGCCCTCCCCTATTTTTATCACTCAGACCCCCCCTCCTCTCCTCCTCTTTCATCCCTCTATTCTACATGCATCCCCTCCTCCTCCTCCTCCTCTGCTCCCTCCTGTCCTCTATCTGTTCCCCTCGTATTATTTTTATCCCGACCCATTCTTCTCTCTGTCCTCTCCTGTCCGCTCCTTTTCTCCTCTAGGCAGCAAAAACTGTCCAAAAACTTCTAAAAAAGTCGCGGCTTTGATTCCCCCTCGGTGCTGTCCCTAAAACTTACATCTGTATCTTCCCTTTTTCCTCTCATTGTAGCTTAAAGTTGTTCACACTGGGACATACTTTAAATATTGTTTTGCTTTGATTGTCAATTTTGGAAACTATTTTTTCCCCTCAAAATCTAAACATGTGTTTTCTGAGGGTTTTGTTTTCATTTATTGTTCTAAAAAGACCCAATCAGAAAAAGGAAAATGATGTCCCAATTTCCCTAAAGCTTTTTAATGAACTTAATATTTACATTTAAGCTGCTTCAATCGGAGGATATTCAACATTTTTGCCATAAAAACAACCTGTTGAGTCGTTTACTGGATTAACAAAGTTTTTGTAGATTAATTTAAATTGATGAAGTATCATATTGTTGAATATTTAAGATCAGATAAAGACAAAAGCTGTATTAATAGAGCCGCCGTGGAAGAAGTATCTTGTTCAACACTATTTTGTAGTCCTTGTGTCTTGTTTTCCGCCATATTTGTAGTCGTAGCATGCCTTTTTTTTGCGCTGACACGAATTATACTTGTCATCATTTTTATTTAACGCCAAATTTTATTCAGAAAAAGTGACTTAAAGTTTTCCCTAATTAAAATATTCCAAGATTGTTGTCCAAGAACATCAAAAACTATCGATGAATAACATTCAAAGCAGAAAATATTAAAATGTCTTATCACTTCTTTTTTTATCACTTTATCCAGAAAAAAATTATCACATTTCTCAAAAAATATTTATGCTCCAGTTGCATATTTACCGCCATTTTTGTAGTTTAATGATCATTTTGATGGAAGTGAAAGTTATAATTGTTTTCTAATTACCCCTGAGTAGATTTTTTAAAACTATTTTTACTATATTACTCTTGAATTCAGAGTATTTTCCCGTCATAAGATGTAAGCAGTGTGTAATTGTGAGCATTTTAAAAATATTTTTTTCTTTTATTTAAATTCAATGAATGTATTTTGTTTTATATCTCTCTCTCGTTTTCTTCTCTTATTTCGACTTTCTTCTCGGTATTTGACCCGTTTCCCCTCCTCTCTCACCTCTATCTGTCACTATAATATACACCTGCAGCCTTTCCTGTGTGTGTGTGTGTGTGTGTGTGTGTGTGTGTGTGTGTGTGTGTGTGTGTGTGTCCTGGTTAAAAATGATGCTGACCTGCCTTGTTAAAAGTCGATCAGCTGGGTGGAGAAAATGTCACCAGGTCTCGGAACAAGGTCACATTTTTCAACTCCCTCCTGAGGAATCCACTCCTCCTCATCCCTCTTTCTCCTGTCCTCCTTTTTCCTCCTCCTCCTCCTAATCTCCTCTAACCCCGTCACATCCTCCTTTACTTTCCCCCTTTTTCTCTCCTTTCTTCCTCCACCTTGTCATTCCCTTTTCTCCTGTTCCTTCATCTTGTATTCCTCCTTTCTCCTCTTCTATCTATTTTCTTCATCTTCTGATTTTCTTGCTCCCCCCTAACTTTTTCTTGTCTCCTCTTCCTCTCCTTCTCCGTCTTTCCTCCCTTCTTGTGCCTTTTCCTCCTCCTTCCCAGAGTTTCCTCTCTGACCCTCCTCAGCTCCTTTCCTTTTTTCCACTTTCTATCTTTTTCTCATCCACTCTTTTCCATTCTTTCCATCTACATCATTTTGTTTTCCATCCATTTATTCTTTTCCTCTTTCCTTCACCTCTCCTCACCCCTCTCTTCCTCCTCATTTTCTGATCCACTGTTCCCCTTGCTTCTCCTTTTTTTGTCACCTTTTTTAAAAATAATTTTAGACAACTCTCTCTCTCTCTCTCTCTCTCGTCTTCTGCTTCTTCAGCTAATTTCCACTTCTCCTCCTCTCTTCCTTGATCCTGCAGATCCTCAACTCCACTTCCCTCTCCACCTTTTCTCCCTCTTCCTGTTCTTCCTTACGCATCCTCCCTTTTTTCTTCTTCTCTCTTTCGTTAGATTTCTTGTCAATGCCTTTTTATCCTCCACGTTTTTTTCATTTTATTCCTTCACCTCATTTCTCCTCCTCCTTCCTTTCTCCTCTCCTCATTTTTTTCTCGCTCTTCCTCCTCTTTAATTCCTCTGCTTCTTTCTATTATTTCTCCTCCTGTCCCACTTCTTCTCCTCCCTCCATCCGCCCCATCCTTCCCTCTCATCCTCCTCCATCTTTTCTATATTTTGTTCGGCCAATTAGTCACCTTAAAAGACCAGAGAAAAAAACGATCGCACTCCTCTCTCTCTCTCTCTCTCTCTCTCTCTCTCTCTCTCTTCTCTCTCTCTCTCTCTCTCTCTGTCTCTCTCTCTCTCTCTCTCTCTCTCTCTTCTCTCTCTCTCTCTCTCTGTCTCTCTCTCTCTCTCTCTGTCTCTCTCTCTCTCTTTCTCTCTCTCTCTCTCTCTCTCTCTCTCTCTCTCTCTCTCTCTCTCTCTCTCTCTCTCTCTCTCTCTCTCTCTCTCTCTCTCCCTTGCTCCTCGTTTTCTCCTCCTACTACCTCCCTTCTTTCCCTGCCTCTCTTTCTGATTGTAATGCGATGTCTTTCTTTGTATTCAGCAGTTTTCTCTTCACTCGTTAATTAAGAGTGTGGAAGGTGAGAGAGGCAGGGGAGAGGTGTGTGTGTGTGTGTGTGTGTGTGTGTGTGTGTGTGTGTGTGTGTGTGTTTATAAACCTCTGTAGGTGCAAAATGCTTTTATGGCAGGAGGGATGAGTGTGTGTTTGTCAATGCGAGTGTGTGTGAGCAAGGCGGCAAAGGGGTCCTACTGGGCCAATCAACATTAATGAAATCAGGTGGGTCTGCGTGTGTGTGTGTGTGTGTGTGTGTGTGTGTGTGTGTGTGTGTGTGTGTCGGAGTGCTTGGCTTGCAGAAGAGAGGGGATCTAAAAGAGGTCTAAAGAGGAGAGAGAGCTAATTAGAGTTCCCTGTCTCACCAGAGTGTGGATCACACACACACACACACACACACACACACGCACCAAAATGCACAACCACAGGTACAACACACACACACACACACTCATAAAGAAGAGTGTGTGTTCCCGTAGATATTCATTTATACACACGCAGAGTTTCAAGTGAAGGTTTTCAATGTCAGGGAGGACTGAGCACAGCTGGTGGAGGGAGGACGACACATGCATACTAACACACACACACACACACACACACACACACACACACACACACACACACGCACACTGTACTTGTGAGGACCCTCATTGGCATAATGCTCTCCTCGAGTTCCACGACTCCAACCTGCACCGGAGCGTTAACCCTCAAACATCTGTATGATCTTGAGACGACCTGAGACGTCTTTGTTCCCACTCCCCTCGTGCTTCAAACCCCTTACTCAAAAATGTCCTAACTTTCCCGCCTTACAAGCCGTAAAAAAAAAAACAGCTTAACAAAAAGATTTCCCTCACACTCACATGTCGGATCCTATCCTATTGTATCATTTCATATCGTGTCGTTGATTCCCACCTCAGGTCACCAATAAGAAACGCTTACTAACTTATCTTCAAAAACAATTACTTCATTTGAAATCAAAAATTACAAAATTTGCAAAACATACTCAATATTTCTTACAAATGCTGCACAAAATATATTCTCAGTAAAGTCACAAAAGTTCTCTTTTCCTGAAACATCTTGGGCCTTTCTCTGCTGTAAGCCCCTCCCAGTGCCACGCCCCCCTTTATAGCCAATTGGCAAGACCGCTACCACTACTAACTTGATCCTAATTTAGCACCCAAGGTCAAAAACTGAAATTGACATTTGCACATTTCCAAAATTCCTTTCTGTCCATAAAATGTCCTCCCTTCTTTAAATTTCTCAAATTGCCAAAAATTCCTTTTTTTTTTTTTTTTAAACAATGTCGTCATTGTTAAACACGTCTACAAGATCCAAAGCTACTCCTGCTTTTTTTAAATGTCCGCACTGTCCAAAATAAGCCCTCATGGTCCAAAACAACTGAAAAAATGCCCTACTTTTTTAGTGTCCTCCAACTCCAGGTCTATATTTCAAACTGGTCCTCAGCACACACACAAACAGGCACACACACACACACACACACACACACACACACACACACACACACACACACACACACACACACACACACACACACACTCAATGAAATATTTCCACACACACAAACGCAGTCACATGTGTGTCTGATAAGGTGCACATCAAAGGGAGGCCACAGTGTCTGCTTCATGTCTCCACTAATCTAGCCGGGGCCCCAACACACACATGTGCCCACCATGTGTGTGTGTGTGTGTGTGTGTGTGTGTGTGTGTGTGTGTGTGTAGATAAAAAAAGTGTGAGTGCCTTTGAACACGCTTGTGTGCAGTGTCATATCTGCTATTTTGTGTATCAACATGACTCTGTAATGCATGAGTGTGTATCTGACTGAGCTCCTGTGTGTGTGTGTGTTCCATGTTTGTTTTTTTATGTGTGTGTGTGTGTGTGTGTGTGTGTGTGTGTGTGTTCAGATACCTTGTACAGCACCGTTGTCTTGCTGGTTTCCATTAAGTTCAGGTTTATCCTCGGCTACAGCAGCGTCTGGTATGAAACACAAAGACAGGACAGAGTCTCAGCGGGTCGGCTAATAAAACACAAACAGCACCTTGTAACTGAGCTCAGGGCAACAACAAAAAAAAAAAAAACCCCACTGGATTTACAAAGAACAAAAAGCCACAAAAACAACCATTTGTCCAGAGAATTATATTTTTGGACACTATTTTTAAATTTTGTCCTCTTCAAAGCACTTTAACTGTCGTGTTTAAAAGTATTTGGAAATTAGGGGAAAGAACACATTTGGCTGCATTCTCAAAACAAATCCAGTGAGAGCGTTTTTGGAAAAGATTGAGCTCTGGTATTATTAGAGCGGCAAGTAACAATTCTCCTCGTTAAGTAAATGAATCTGCCAATTATATTTTAGACAAATTGATCAGTTGTTTAGCTTATTAAATATCAAAAACACTGTAAAAGAGGAACACAGTTTCCCCCGATCCTTGGGGATGTCTTCAACAGTGTTTTTGTGTTAAAAACAGTCCAAACACAAAGATATCCTTTTTATTACATTTGTAAAGTGGGTTATTCTCACCATTAAAAAGCTGGAACCATTATTTGTTTGGATTTTGCCAAAATAAATGGACCAAAATGTTTAATTGAATATCACAAGAGATGCTGATTATATCATTTATGATCAAGGAATGGATTATAGAACTGAAACAGCTAGAGCTTTACCGATAAATCAATCTGTCGATATTATAGGAAATTTGGTTTTATTGTAGTTTGTCAGGAAGAAAGCGCTCAAGAGTCTTAAGTTTGCCATAATCAGTGTACTTAGTGTTCAATAAAATACAGTTTGGTCAATCAAAATGGCCACCAAACCTATCCAGAATCCTAAGTGTTGAGGGCTTAAATCCAATATTTTCAGTTTACACGATAAGGAAATCTTCAAGTGATGACATCTGAGAAACGTGGAACAACTAAATGTTGGCTCTTTGTAGAGGTAACAGCTGTATATCAGCAATTAAGGTATTATAAGTCAAAAACTGTACTTTGCTGGTCCCTTTGAAGTCCCTTTTCTGGTGCGCCTTAACGGGACCTTATTTTGCATGTTACCCAATGGCAAGAGAGATTTCTTTTAACCCTGTTGCAACAGTTGCATGAACTGCCCATCTACTTTCTCAATACATTTCGAGAACCAAAAAAACAAAAAAATGTTTTGGAAATAGAGTACTAAATATATTTTGCAAAACTGCACAGTGAACAGCATATCTTGTCTTGCAAAACCAATATGGCCGCCACCTTGGCAGACTCAACCAAGGCTTAAAAACTTTTGGGGCCCACATGAAAGGAAGGGACTTCACCTCCCAATGGGATTCGACTGAAGTTACACAGACGGATTAATAGCACTTTTTACTGCTGCTGCTGATTACCCCAAAGTTTATGGAAGAAAGAGTGAAAAAAGAAAACGGCACCAGTCTGTAAGCGTTCAGTTTTAACAGCGCATATAAACAAGTGTTGGGTAAACACGGGTCTAGAAAATGATGCAACAGACGAAAGCTTAAGCCTGAGAAAAACACAGAAGAAGAATCAAATCAAAGATGGATTGTAAAAGATGAAGAAAACCAAATAGAAACATTTAGGCAGAAAGAAGCCTTGAGAAAAATGTTGGAACGATAACACAAGAGGCTAATATAAAAAGAATTCAAGCCAAAACAATAAAAACAAAGAGAAAACAGAAGTCTATTCAATAGTTAACAAACAAGGGGAACATTTGTAGAAAACCAAGCGAGCAGTATAAAAAGTTTTTAAGAAAACAGATCGAAACAAGACAAAGGGGCAAAAGGGGGCAGAAATGCAGACAAAAAAACAAACCCTGAAATAAAGCAACAAACACTCGGTGGTACCGTTCTTGGTGTTGTTGTTGTTGGCGACGTGCAGCGGCTCCGGAGAGGGGGAGGACGAAGACGAGTGCTTCAGAGCGTCCTCCACTCGCTCCCTTCTCTTCGACTCGAACTCCAGCGCCTCCTGCAGCTTCCTCTTGGCCTTTTTCTCCTTCTTCAGACGCTTCTGGATCGAGGCTGAGAGAGGGAAAACGTAGGGTTGAGGGTTATTTTTTTAAGTCTGATTTGAGTTCCTGGATCTTCCCTTGAATAACTCATCTCTTTCCCAACATGTCCTCAGACCTAAACAACCCAATATGGCGTCTGATATTGACTCCAAAAAGACATATAATGTCTTCTCTTGTTTTTACTTTTGAGTTGACGGGAGGTGAACACACAGTGAACACTGGTCTTCTGTGTTAAAGTCTTGTAATCGTCACCGAGCAGAACTTCCTCTCTCTTTATACTTTATCACCAAACTCTTTCCTGTGGTCCAGTCCTAATTCCTCTTGCTGATTTGAAATTCAGATTATTATGTCAGCACTTCCCAAATGGAACCCAACAGCCAATAGAGAGAAGTATAGAATGGAACCAAGCCACTGAGGGCGAAGGAAAACCAAGTAAACTCCTAATTTGAAGAGTACTGTACTGAAGCAGAATTTAGTGGTACTCCTAAATGATCTTATATCACCTTCTACTCATATTCCACTACATTTCAGAGAGATGTTGTAGTTTTCACTGTGCTGCATTCATTTAAAGGTTATTTTTCTTGTCGTTCCATGTGTAGAAAAATAACTCTCAAACAGCAGCACAGTCCCAAGAGCATAAATTACTACTTGATTGTCCCTGATAATACTTCAAAAGGCACGATGACTCAGTGCTTTTGTGTTTTTCTGACCTCTGCTCTGTAGTTCGGAGGTGAGCTGTCGTTCCAGACTCTCCCTCATCTCTCGTTCTCTGTAGAGCTCCATCTTCAGCTCCCTCTTCTCTGCCTGGATCTGTTTGTCCTGCACCCGAGCGTTCTCCACCGCCACCTTCAACAAGCCCTGAGGGTTAAAACATTTCATTCAATTATCTTTTTTTTAATTTTTTTATATAAGACAACTGTATTTACCTGAGTCAGTCCACTCCATTTATAAAGGAAACATCTATCAAAACTAAATGTAATAAAAACAGGAAGTTGTACCTGTATGTTCGTGAGCAGAGTCTCCACAGACGACAGGCCGTCGGCGAATAGGAACGGGGCGGGGAATCCAGGGGGCAGGGTGTGTCCAAGTGAAGACTCTTCTGTGAAGAAAAAGCCAACTGTTTTTGTTAAATAAAAAAGAAGAACAACGTGTCAAACGTTAGTCTCCTTTGGATGGCTTTCATTTACTTATTTATGAATTGTTCCTGAATTTTTGTGAGGGTGGGCGTCAATAGAAGACAGGCTTTTAATTATTTTCAAACACAACTGGTTCACAGCATAGATAGGAAAACGTATGAAACTGTAAATCTACACCAGAAAGATCCTTTAACTGTGTACAACGATAGCGCACCAATAAAGAGTCTCTTATTTGATCGTGCAGTTTAAGACAGCATGCAAACCTGCTTCAAGTCCTGAACACCTACGGGCATTATTCTGTCTGTCTTGGACAGATGTTGTTGTTCATCTAATCAACACTAAATGCATCAGGGGCGTCTAATTGAGAGCTGCCTTTATTTGTCCAAACATGCAGCAACACCGGGCTGCTAAAAGGGACTGGGCCTTCAATCGGGATGGGCTTTTATTTGACGTATTATGGTAGATGTTAAAAGTAATTAGTTAAGGAGTTTGACAACACAAAACAGAGAATATTTGTAATACTGTGTATGGAATAATGTGCATTTGAATTATTTCATACATTTTACCAATAGTTTGACCTTTTCAAACAAAGAAAAAGAGACTTCAAAACCCAGCATGAACAAATGTACAAATTACAAATGTACATTAACTAAGCAGGAGAAAGCAAATTTACATTTTGGAAAACAAATGTACAAGATGTGAAACACTTTCAGGAGCGGTGAGACAAACGAACACACGACAGAACACTTTTGCCAGTCTGACGGCTCACTCAATCACTTCCGGGTCACTTCCAGCATTTGGTCAATTCCCTTTCTGGTATGATTCTGTGGTTTGTAAATTTGTTTGGGGACTGACAAAAGTGTTCTGCCAGTTAAAGTGTTTTCTTTTTGTAATTTGTTTAATAAAATGTAAAAATATTTACCAAAATGTACATTTGTCTCACACTTCCCAGCCACCGTAGTTTCCAGTCTTAATGCTTAACCATACTAAAATGTTCTGCCTGTACCTTCATATGGATCAAACAGACGTTTAGTGTCGCCTTAAAACCCGTTTTAAAAGGACAGTTTGAGTACGCATGAATATTCTGGAGACGGCATGTTTCTATCAGCGACACGTCTTCTCGCACTCGAAGTTTATGAAATGTTGACGTTTACGAACGAATAAAAGTCAACGGAGCAGCATCAGAGAAATCAATTACACCCAACACACACACACACTTACATGGAGCGGTCGTTAGTATTCAGACAATCATGTGGGGTACTAATTGGCAGGGATTAAAGACATCCTTGATTTGTGCGTCTGTGTGTGCATGTGTGTGCGTGTGTTCATTGCGAGTGCGTCACAGTGTCTGATCAGCCCTTAATGCCTAACACACTGACAACTGGGTTAACTCTGCTGTGAAATTAACGCTGATTAAGATGCACTCTAACACACACACACACACACCATCTCTATCCCCTATCTGCCTCTTCATCCATACATCCCTCTCTCTCCTCTCTTTCTTATATCTTTCCTTCATCATCTTTTCTTTTCTTTTTCCTTCATCTTCAAATATTCTTCCTCTTAGCTCTCAAACATTCACAATTTTCGTTCCATCTCTTTTTCTAATTTTTGTTTCCAATTTTGTCCTCTTTCTAAATGTCCTCATGACCTGCCTCTGAAGTAACCAACCAATTCAGTTTATGATTTAGTTTATTGTTTGTGGGTTTTGTTACTGGTGACGGTGCACTGTAAATAGTTATAATATGGTGATGGGATGATTCATAATATGTGTAATTAAATTATGGTATACAAGTAATTTTTTTATATTATATAGATATTATTGTATAATTAATAACAATTAAATTGAGTTAAAAGGAGTAGGATTAAATAAGTTAGAACTTGAACGAATGGAGGAGTTGACTTTTCTTTCTTATGTTGTGTATTTACTTTATTTGTTTTCTACTTATTTTTAATTACAGCTATTTTGAGGTTCAAAAGAAATAAATAAATTCAAATCTACCATTTTTATTTTTTTCTTTCTTTCCCCTTTCTCACCTCTTCTTGTCTCTGTCCTTCTTGTTCTTGTGGGGGGAGGGGAAGGGGGTAAGTATAAAACATTTTTAGTTAACTAAATTGTATTCTGATCCCCCCACCCCCCCTTAAAAATTACACATTTGCCCGGAGCTGCCTCTTTTTCTGCTTCAGCATCCCTTCATTGTTATACCTGACCACCATGATTTCCATTTTGTTCATTTTGTCTCTTTCTACCCATTACTCGTCTTTCTTACTACTTTCACTGTACAAGTTGACAAATCATTTCAAATAATTTACCTCATTTTCCATGATATGGAAAAATGGAAAAGGTGAAAATTTATAACCTTACAAATATGGCATGGTGGAGCGAGCGAATATGAGATAAAATGTGGAAGGAATAAAAAAAAAGGACAGGGAGGACGGGAAGAGACAGCATTTAAAGGATTAAAAAAGGAAGAAACAGGCATTTGATTTTTAAACATAGGACGCCAGAGGAGGGGTCCAGACTTCTAACAGAAAGAAAAGCGTTGTTCAAATATCGCCCAATACGGGGCGTTAAAACTACCAGATATGATAGTTATAAAACACACAACTTGCATATTGTTTCAGCCAAAACATCATAAATATTCCCTCTAGTCGCACATTTAAAGTTTAATTTTAACATTAACTGGTCAACATGCAACACAATCTGGAGACAATCTGCAGCATGAAGAAGACACAAACACACAAAGCAGACCGAGGATATGACACACAGGAAGGTCATTTTCTATCACAAACACAGGTTTAGTTTATTGTGTAGTTCTGTAGCCGTAATTGCTCCAATATACCTTCCAGATGGAGGGAGGCCACAGAGCACATTTTGTTGTCTGTTATTTTCCCCTGAGACGGGCATTAAACACTTTTTGTGTCTGAGAGACTCCTTAAAGTTTTGTAGTTATAAACAGGAAATAAATACCTGATTTTTTTTCGAATGAACTATTGCTTAAACGGTAACTTTTAATGTTGATTAGAGAATCATAACGTGCCTATGATTGCCTTTTAGTTATACTATTCAGTGTTTACAGTATATAAACATAAGAGCGGCCTCAAAGAGGACTGTAGCCTCCTCACATGGGGCACGCAACATGACCGCTAGGCTATCCGGCGCCCCTATTCAGTGTTTTTTTTCCATCTCCCTCCACACTCACAAGCCTGAAAACTAATTATCACATGGCCAGTCGTGAAGCTCGAAATACTACCAACAAGAAAATGAGAGAAATTTCAGTTTGTTAACTGTTTGAAAGAGATTCCTAAGTAATGTTTGACTGATGAAACAACGCAATGTAGGACCTTTTTATTTTGTATTTCACTGGTCACTTCAAAGGTGACCTAAAGCAAAGCGACTTTTAACATAACACTACATGCAGAGTTAAGGGTGTAGCCTTCAGCTTTTTGATTTTTCCTGATGTCCAATCCTTAGATTGCATCAGATCTATTCGAACCAAAAGTCTTTTAAAAATATGTTTTTTAAGTTGTTTTTTTTTCTCATAGTACAGAGAAATCTGTTTTGGGGGAGGTTGCAATAAAACTGCACATTACAATACAGACAACACAATAAATTAGATTTGTAACAAAACGATAAACACTATACAAGACGATATGATACTCTTAGTTGTCCCCAAAAAGGAAAAACTTCACAGACCTAGACCTATGAACACGACGGCAATGATTTACCAGCACAGTTGTGTTTTAAACGATGCAAATAAGCAAAAACTAACCTGCCTTCAAACTTGCAATTAACACATTTCATATATTTGACTGGACGTCCATCAGTTATCATCCTTAAATGACAGCAGGATTTACAAAAGTCTCAACTTTAAGGATTCATAAATACCAGAGAAGTGTGGACTCAAAATAAATGTGTGTCGCATTAAGGCCTTAACGTACTAGTCTGGATTTAGCTCAAGATCTATGCTCCTTGCAGAGACAGGAACAGATGCCCTTTTTGCCCTTATTGATTTTATAGGAAGCCTCTCCTCTGCCGCTCTGCTGATGTCTGCAGTGATGCTTTAGAGTACGAATGGAGTGAAAATTAAAAGAAGGAAGGAGAGGTGAAGAGAAAAGAATTAGACGACAACAGAATGTGTTATAAGGATGGAAAATACAAAGAGAGAGAAAAGAGAGTGTGATTGAGGGACGAGAGGCCCCGCATGCTTTTAGTGCGTGACCTCTTGATCCCTTTTAGCCTTGCCTCCTCCACTTAGCCTCCCCTCGCTCAACCCGCCTCCCTCCCTCCCTCCCTCCATCTATCTATCTCCCCCTCCTTCGTTCATCTGATTGATAGCTCGAGAGACAGGTGATCAATAGGAGGGGCAGAACATCCTGACGCTTCTGTTTCTCTGTTTGTGTGTGTCTCTGCAAGTGTGTTTTCAGTCACTGTGTGTTTATGTGTGTGTGTCTGTGTATAAATACAGCAGATGAGGAAAGCCCCCTTAAGTGAGGACGATTTGTCAGTTGTCAAAAGGAAATGGGTGAGGGTTTAGATTAAGGTGCGTAATGGAAGATCCTCATTCGTAGAAATGTACGTGGCAGAACAGACAGAGGTGTGCATTTAGAAGAATACCTTTCTTATGTTTGTGTGTGTAAGTGTGTGTGGTCCAACCTTTGTCCTTTGTTATTTTCTTGATGGGCGCAGCAGGGTTGGGCAGCGCAACATCTGCATCTGCTGACACCAATCCTGTCGAAAGAGAAAGCACAGTGAGCTTATCTGTGTTTGGAAAAAAAAGGAAATCCTATATATCCTAAAGTTCTCAAATATCTTTTGTGTTTTATCCAAACAACTTTTTAAATTACTTCAAAAAAGAATTTTAAAAAAGATGATTTTTAAAGATTTTTAATAACAAACTTTGCAGATTATTCAATCAAAATAATTCAACAAGTATTTATATCATTAATTTATCATTGAATGTGTACAGTAGTTTTTATGGATATGTGCATGTACCTAGTCTTTCGGGCGAGCTGGAGGCTGAGCTGCTGGGCTGCGACTGCAGAGGAGTGTTAGTCTCGTCCACAGATGGAGAGAGAGAAGGACTGTCACACACCCTCTCCTGTAAAGAGGGAATAAACAAACAAATGTATCAATATATATTCCTGCAAGATCTGAACCAGAGGAATTAACTAAACCATGTTATTTCAAATGTCTCTATCATGTTACGCTAGAGGAGGTTTGAACTAGCTAATCTGATTGGCTGCAGTATATTCTTTGTTTGTGCACATTGAAAACAACAAATCGAAATAAAAATGGACTTTTCAAGCAAAGGCTTTCAATATTTGGAAAAACACCTTGAATTGCTCTTTAAAAAAACTTTTCAAGGAAAATACACAACGTTTAATATTTGAGGAGTTCCTCAGGGAACCTACTACGGTCCTCTGTGGTTGTTGTTTTTTCAGGTGTATGAAATGTGTGTTTTACCTTGATGACAGGTGCGCGATGTACATGAGTGTGTATCTGCTGGGCTGCAGCGGCCATGTTGGCGATGGTGTTGAGATGGTTCATCTGCGACATTGCCATGGCTACAGAGGCAGGAGGCAGTCCCATGGGCAGCAGAGGGTGGGGCATCATCATGAAGGGCAGGTCCAACCCTGAGTAAGACAGGTAAGAGTGGATGAGGGAAAAAAGCAGCTGTGAACTTTTGAAGTAAAATGTTAAATAAAAGAAGACATGTAAAAGGAGAGACTAAAAAGATTAATATAGCATTCAGTTCATAATTATTATTTTTTGGGGGGAGGGGCATCCTCTTGTCTATTGTAGTTCTTATATTGACTAATAATGACTAACTTATACAACCCAAATTCAGAAGGTATTCTTTTAAATATGAAGATGATTTGCTGATGTAAAGGTTGTTAACATCAGGCTATGCACTTTTAAAAGTTGAGTGTATTTTAGTTGCTTTTTTCAACCTTCGTTTTTGGTCATTCCAAAACTATTGGCACATTTTTTTGTGGTTACTTATGATACAATCAAAAACTATAAAGTATAAAATCATCCATACAAGTGGGGCGTCCAAATACAGCAAAATTAAACAAAAAACTTTAATATAAACAAAGCAAAGGGTTTGGTAGGGTAGGTTCCTCTATGACATTATCAGAGTTTTACAAAACAGGAATTCTAAAGAGAAAATAAAGAGATTCTAAAGGCAGATAAAAAGGTCAAAGTTTAATACAAAACAAAAAACAACAAACAATAAATTCCCCTGGGCTAGTCTGAGTGCTTGAACTTCTTATTTCATTGGGTTTTGAATCATTTCTTAGGTTTCCTTTCACTCTTTAGTGTGTGTGTCTAATTTCACTTTCTCTGTCTTTGTCGCTCCTCTCTTTCCTTTGAATTGAATTTAATGAATAACCAAAGCTGACTTAAACAAATCAGTCTTACTGTTGGTCCTGTGCAATGAATATCTTTCAGATTGTCTATAACATTTCAGTCGTTGTACTGATTCATTGCTTTTTAGTGCATTTCTTGAGATTTTCTGAAAAGAGGTATTGAAGGCGAGTGGATTTTTCGAGTTGAAAAGAAATAAAATTGATCTTAAAACCAGAGCCAAAACTTGATTATACAAATTCCACGATTCAAGCAGCATAAAGTGTTTCTTCCTTTCTCTCTCTCTGTCTTTTTGGATTAAGTGTACCATTTAAACATTTGCCTTTTTTAATAAACAGGGAAATGTTTTGTGAGAATCAAAGGGCAGGAAAAGGGGGAGAGTGGGCTGCTCTCCGTCTGTGAACTTGAGTTGAACTTAACCTTGAGGAAAAAGAGAGGGAGAGGTGTCATCGGCGTGTCAAATGTCTCGCTAATAAAAGTTGACAAAGCAGAGGAGGAGGGAGAGAAAGAAAGGAAAAGGAGAAAATATGGAGGTCAGGGGGGTTAAAGGGTGATGAGGCGAAAGAAAAAGGGGGTTAATGACTATTTCTGATTCTTTACATCTTCCTTCTCTTGTTTCCCTTTACATTCTTTATGTTTTTCTTTTGATTTTGTCTCCATTTTTTTACCCTCCTTGTCCCTTTATGTAAATGTTTTAGTCTTTTATCTCAATTTTCAGCATGCCTTCTTTTTCTTGTTTTTCTTTTCCTCGCTTTATCATTCCTTTTTCTTCATTTTGTCATTTCTTTCCCTCTTTTCTGTCCCCCTAACGCCACCTCTCGCTGCATATTTGGGGAGGATCCATTAGCTTTAATCCATTCTCTAACCCTGAGCCACCTAAAAGCATAACCTTGGCTTTAACCTCTGATCTCAGACCTCCCCCGACCCTAAAATAGCCCCTGCTTTCAAAGACAAACTCCCAAAAAACAACGATTCTCCAGAGGATTGTTGCCTCAGCTGTCCTAAACACACACACACATACACACACATACACACACACACACACACACACACACACACAAACCAAAAAAAATGCAGCGGCTGCTTTCATTCCAATGAAACAATAACACTGATTGCTGTTGTCGTGACGACTGAAGTGATAGAATAATCAATGTGAGTGTTTGTCGCCTCCCGCTGCCCGGTCTTTGTGTGTCGCTGTGTGTTTGTGTGTTAACACATTACTTCTGCAATAAGAAAAAGAGCTAGAATGAGTGTGTTTCGGTTTGTTTGCGTGTCTCTCCATATGTATGACTGTGTGTGTGTGTGTGTGTGTGGTGTTGATAAATTGAGTCATTTAGTAGAGTGTGTGCTGATTAATCCCGGCAGAGTGTTAATACAGGAGATGGGAACAGATTAAATGGCGTACATTAACAAATATTGCCACCCCTTTAAACACACACACACACCCTTCAAGTGTGTGTGTGTGTGTTGCTGTGTGTAATCGCTCAAGCCTGCAAGTCCACTCTTGGCAATTTCTCTAAAACAAAATGAAAAACCACAATTAAAGTAATACCTTGGTAAAAGACCTTTAAAGTACTTGTTTTATTCTTTTTTTGTTTTCTTTTTAAGGACCTGAACCATCGGTCCCCACTTGGTTTCTGTAGCCTCGTAGTCCCACGTTTGTATCATAAGACAGGATGTGTGTGTGACACCACTTCAGTCTATACCTCTATGAAATATCTTTAAAATGAAATTAAAAACCGTAATTAATGAACCTTTAAATTTAATGTTTCAATCTTGTTTTTAAAGGACCTGAACCATCGGTCCTCACTTGGTTGATGTAGCCACACTGTCCTCTGTTTGTATGATAAGACAGAATGTTTGTGTAACACGTCTTATTTCATGCGACTTCAGGAGCTGGGGGATCAAACCCTGGACTCTCCGGTTGAGCCACAGCCTGCTCAAACTAATGTGCACACTTACTGTTAGCCAATAGCTGTTGTTGCTGCTGGAGTTGCTGTTGATTGACAGCTCCCATGCTCTGCCCCCTCCCTCCTCCTCCACCTCCTCCTGCTGCACCTCCTCCCCCAGCTCCTCCTCCTACTGGTGGCCCTCCTCCTCCTGGTCCTCCGCCGTGGACTCCAGTAGGGGGGCTGGTCAGACGCTCCTTATCCCAAGAACACTCACTCCCTCCTGCGTGGAGACGAGCACACAGAGGCTTACAATTTGACTTTTTTATGTCATAATATAGAGTTCATATGGATTATGTAGGTGTCCCGCTGTACGCTAAGCCCCGCCCCCCTGTAGTGACCGTCGCCTGTCTCGTGCTCTGCATCCTTGCAGTTTTTAAACAATATAAATCAAGAATTTAAAGAATTGGGGCGCAGGTGGCACAAAAAGCCCAAAAATAAATCTTGTAAAAAACTGTCAATAGAATGTTTTTAATTATATTGCAAGAAAAACACATTTCTTTATGTCTCTAAATAAAAAGTTTGATCTGCAGCTCATAACACAAATACAATTATGTAATAAATCTATTAAACTGCTGCTTTTAATAACAGTTAATTGATTAAATGTCATCTTTGCTGAACACATTATCTTTTTAGGAAATTAAAGATTATTATGGACATTAATATTATCCATAATCAGAATATTAATTTATCCAGTTTGTAATCTTTACGATAAAGAAAGTGACATTTGTTAAAAGAGTGAAACAATTACTTCCTGTCCTCTCTCTCTCTCTCTCTCTCTCTGTGTAATGCTGCCTCTCTCGCCCTCCACGTCTCTCCCTCTGCTCCCCTACTCCCTTTCTCATCCATCTTCATCTCCCTCCATTAGTTTGAATTAGCAACCGTCTCTCTCTATTATTGCCTACTGAATTCCCTGCGCTGTGTGTGTGTGTGTGTGTGTGTATGTGTGTGTGTGTGTGTATGTCTGTCTGTGTGTGTGTACATGACAGCTGGGCCTCATCCCCTCTGCCATTTACACCAGGGAAGAAGAAGAAGTATAAACAGATGGGCAGATGTTCTCTCTCTCTCGCTCTCTCTCTCTTTTCCACGGCCTTGTCCTCTCCTTCTCTGCCTCTGCCTTCTCTCTTCTTTGTCACTTTCTTTCCTCTCTTTCTTTTTCATCTCCCCTCTCTGGAATCATCCACTTCATATGTGGGAGGCTAACGAGTTGGACATGTTAAAAAAGTAAACTCACATTTATTTCATCTGTGTCTCGGGATTAAAGCAACAGAGTTTTTCCCGGTAGACACCACTCCCTCGCTAGCGAGAATAAAAATGGCCGACCTGCGCAAAAGTTTTGCTCTAGGCTGGGGGCGGAGATACCACTGTGACATCACAAGGAGAGCACATTTGAAACAGAGCATTTTTCTCTGTGTTGTAAGACTTATGCAGACCACAAACAAAGGACTGGATGGGTTTATTTCACATGTTGTGGGTCAGTAGACGCTCAGGTTACCCAGATATATGTTCAAAAACACTTTACATAACATGTCCCCTTTAAATCAGGATTACACTGATAGTTGTATGTGGACCTTTCCTGTTGGGGTTTTATCGATGAAAACTGTTAAGATCTTTTTTTACTTTCTGTCTGCAATATGAGTTTTTTCCCAGTTGGGTCCTTGGGGTCCCAGCTTGATGCAAGTAGGGGGGCTCCAAAGAAAAAAAGGGTCGGAAAGACTCCTCTGAAGCGTTTCTTTATTCTTTATTTTACTATAAAATTGTAACATTATTTGCTAAATGAACATCCTGCTGTAAAGAAACATCCATTGAGAATATTGTAACTGAGGGAATAACGTATGGAATCGCCCTCTGCTGGACATTAGAAAGAACACAGGCTTAAGGCCCATCTTCTTGGATTCATTTAAAGTTTTCAAGCAGGAATTTTAAAATTTTAAACTTTTTTAAACAATTTAGAAGTTTTGGTCGCCTGTCGCATTGTGGTTAGTGCGCCTGTCTCGGATTCTCTCCCTCATTTCTGACTCTGTCGACTGTCCTGTCTCTACAATGGAGGCACAAAAAATAAATCTTAAAACAAAAGACAAACAGATTTGAATGTGACTACTCGAGTGATCGACTTTCACCCATCAGACACCAGAACATCTTTTCTTTTTTCCCCCCGTTCCCTCTCGCCCTAAATATCAATTTCTCCCCCTCATGATCTTATTTTTCCCTTTCTTTATTCTGCCTCTTTATTTTCTGTTTCATTCGTACACTCGTTTCTTCGGCTCCATTGTTCACCAGAGTTTCCCAGGCCGGTGTGAGTGTCTCTTACAAAGAAAACAAGGTCGCACAAAGAAAGGGAAGGCTCTCCACGCACTCGCACAACAAAACCAAAAAAAAAAAAACACTCTGAATGAAATAAAAGAAGAGCAGGAGGGGGATAAATAAAAAACGACAGGGCGAGAGAGAGAGAGAGAGAGAATAAAAACAAGAAGAGTAACTCTATCAGCGCATTAGTCGGGTCAGCTGAAGAAAAGGGAGAAATGGAAGAAAGGAGAATAGAGAAACAGGTTCCGCTCGCTCTCTTGTTCTTTTTCTCTTTGCTTTTTGTTTTCTGTCTTTTTAATAATTCAGAGACGCAAACACAGCGGAGATGGAGTGGGCCTGTGAATGTGTGAGTTTGTGTTAACAGTCTTTGTTTTTTATTCACGTCAGCCTCAACTTAAGTGATGTTTTCTGACAAATTATTTCATATCGAACCATCCGGAAATAAAAGAGAAAAGGAGTGGAAATTTAAGATTTTGGAGTGCTGTCCCGAGAGACTTTTGAGCATATTGACGATTAAAAATGTGTTAAAAAGTGTTTGTTTTTTTAAACTAAAATTGAAACTGCAAACATGCAAACCATCTACTTCTTTATTTTTACTTTTATTATACCGTCATGATCTGTATCCTCAGCTGTAGTCGAAGTAGTGAGATATTGTCTTTTTGGGGACAAATTCATCACTACAAACAGATATAACATGTACGACATCACTACCAGAACTTTGCTTTAAAGACATATTGCTCTGGTTTAAACGCACAGATTGTAAATAAACAAGAGGGCTCTCAATCAAAACAGCAACAGACGATGACGTTGACGCTGTCGGGCAATCATGGGAGTGATCCTCTCTGCTACGCCACCCACCCCTCCCCTGATTTTTTGCCTGTAATATCCTAAAATAAGACATTTATTTGGACTTGTCAGGGAGACATGAGATACACTTGATTAGACATTAGATGCAGATTTGATTTTTGAAATCTGTGTATTGGAAATAATTAAATTATCTGTTTCATAATTGAAATATGAACATGTCGTCATAAAACCTGAATTTTCTTCTCATAAAGTAACGGCACGGGGAAATACTTTTTTTAATCGACTTGTTTTTATTGTTTCTCTAATAAATGTCTTGACCGCTGGCGTAAGATTCTACTTGTGATCATTTTGCCTACATTGTTGTTCTTGGAAAATCATTTTTAATTTTTAATTGTGATTGTTACAACATTGTGAGCACAGAATTGTCAAACACGTTTAAATAGAGAAACTGATAAGCCTATGATTTTATTTCCAGAGAGCACAACAAAGAACAAACATCATAAAAGTGCCGTTTTCATGTTTTTGTGGATTTCCTTTGGGACACTCATTTACAGTAAAGTACAGTTCAGTGAATGTTACCGAGAAAAAAAAGAACGTATCTGTAGCAAGGATGACGTCTTTGTAGAGTGAAGACGATACGGTGTGTTACTGAACTTGATCAATCACAACACACACACACACACACACACACACACGTCCATGTGATCGAGGTGTCTGCCTGTGTGTAAACGAGACGAGCGGTGACCTCAGAGTTTCAACAAAGAGATACTTTCTCTCTTTTCTTTGCACCTCTTCTTTCCTCCCCTGCAGCGATTCTGACACGTTAGAAAGTTTTATGATGTAAAGTGAGGTGATGTAAGAGAAGAAAACATTAAAGGAGCAGTATGTAACTCTGACCCCTAGTGTTTAAAATGGATACTGCAGGCTTAGCTCAAAACATCAGAGAGAGCTGCTAGAGTCAAGAGTTTAAAAACAGAAATATTGACGACAAAATAAACTGATTTAATACATGTTTAAATCGTACTTTAAAGAGACATAACGCAGGAATTTGGTCTTGTGCGCTTTGGCGCCACCCGAAGGCCTCTGAGTGCAACTGCACGTCGTAAACACAGGCAGTGTAACGCCTCCCTCTCATAGTCAGCGTGCAGTTATTGACAAACTGAGGGCAAAGATGTTTGGGAAAAAGGCGTCGTTTAGTGTAGTGTGTGTGTTAATGTGTGTGTGTTAATGTGTGTGTGTTGTGTGTGTGTGTGTGTGTGTGTGTGTGTGTGTGTGTGTGTGTGTGTGTGTGTGTGTGTGTGTGTGTGTTACCTGTGTTGGAGTGTAAATCATCGTTGTCCGACTCGTTGCCGTTCTGGAGACTCATCATCATCTTCATCTTCTGCAGCTTCTGCAGCTCAGCCATGGCTGCTGCTGTCAGACCTGTGACACACACACACACACACACACACACACACACACACACACACACAGATGTTACACCTTGATCATCAAAAAAGACATTTGGGGATTTTTATTCAGTCAGGTCAAAGTTTAAAACGACCTCAGCTGACTAATTTGTGTTCAGGTTGTAAAACACAATATGAAAAGGGCGAATGTGGATGGTCATAGGTTTAACGCCACCTCAGATGTTCCCCTGTGCCCCCCCCCCCCCCCCCCCCATGCATTACCCAAGATGCTTTGCAGTGAGCCACGGTGACACACATACTGACGTCGTCAAGTTTTCTTTTCAGTCGGAGCGTTTTGTTGAAGTGTTTCAGGGTGTGAGAGCCGTTTCAGACGCCTCGGGGCGGATGTATTTCCACTGATACACACAAGCAGAAAAACAAAACACACACACACACACACACACACACACACACACACACACACACACACACACACACACATTAAGAACATGCCCCCCACTATCACACACACACACACACACACTCTTTTGTATGGACTAAGATCTCTGGCTCTGTGCGCTGACCTGGAACTGACTTCTATACACAACAACCAGCAGAGTGAGAGCGATGACCCTGCGTGTGTGTGTGTGTGTGTGTGTGTGTGTGTGTGTGTGTGTGTGTGTGTGTGTGTGTGTGTGTGTGTGTGTGTGTGTGTATTGTGTACATGCACTATTATGTTTGTAATGTATGTGAGCTTTTGCATCATGCTGAGTGTGTGTGAACAGTTTGCTTTCATCTGAAAATGTGTGTGTATGAGAGAACACACGCATGCCTATCTGTGCATACTTGTGTGTGTGTGTGTGTGTGTGTGTGTGTGTAGGTCAGTTGGTTTTGCCCCAGTCACGGTTGACGGCCTTGGAGGAATGTCCATTACACACACAGTACAGTTGTCTGCGAGCTATAAAGAAAACAAGATACGAGGGGAGGGGAGGGTGGAAAAAAAAGAGGAGGGGGGAGGGGCGGGAGGGAGGAGTTGTTGCGTTGTTTGAAATTTAATTTAAAGCCGGATGGAGGGATGATGGATGGATGAGTGAGAAAGAGGGAGGTGTGGAAAGGAGAAAGAGAGTGTTGTGTGCAGGTTAGAGTAGACGGGGAGCTCCTTAATTAACTCCAGAGGAAAAAACTTTCTGTTAAGAGTTCAAAACAAATCTCTATTGGAGCATCGTCTCTCTGAGATTTTAGCTTTTCCTGAATGTTGTACAGGAAAGGTCGTCAAAATGTTTGATTCTTTGGATCTTAATTGCACATTTTGAGTAAACGTAGCCGATGTATTTGTGTAGACAGTGTGAAGGAGTTAGCTTGCACTTTTTGGTAATGTACAATTAAATAAAATGACCTAATATCTGTTGCCTAGGATTTCTTTTTGTTGTCGTCGAGGTATCAAAACAGGTATCAGGTATCTGCTCCTGCAGCCTGGAATCTCCTGCAGGATGATTTGTGTCTCGGGGAGCTGCTGTCTGTAAATCTTAGATCGAAGGTGTTGGAGGAAGCTGTGTCAGGTCGTAGGTGTTTTGACTGATTACTTTTCTGCTCTGTGACTCAGGATGTGTTGATCTGTGTTTGTCGTCTGTAAATCTGAAGATTCTTAATCTCAATGAGGTTTCTCCTGGCTACTGCTTTTCAAAATAAAATAAATCATGTTTGGATTTAACTAGAATCTTATCAAAGTTTGACAATCTGGTATCGTGACAACCAAGTATTTTTTTTTAATACCTTATTAATCTTCAACCAATCCAGTTGCCTTTGGATCAAGCTTTGAAATTTACCCCGACCTGGATGACTGAGAACCTACACAGACATCAGCAGCATCAACAACAAAAACTATTAATATAACAAAAAACTATTCAGTAGAGCTTATTGTCCACAACCTCACGATTCAATTTCAATTCTTGTTGTCACGATTCAATATCGATATCGATCAATATGCTTCATTATCGATTTAATAAACATAACAGTGCTGTAATGGCATGCTCAAAAACTATATGTAAAGTGCACAATTGTGTCTGAGCTGAATACACAGCACCCCCAGTGGAGAGGGGTGTCATTACAACGGGAAAGAAATCGATCTCAGGATTTCCCTGAATTGGGAAAATAATAATTGGAATGCATTGATGACTCGATATTTATAACCAGCCCGACTCTTTACTCACTGAGGAATCATTTTAAACTGTAAACTTAAAAAACATCCAGAGGAAATACATCGGAGAGCTTCAGGCACCTCCAATCGATCTGCAGAGTCCCTCTGCACCTTTAAGAAAAAGCTAAAGACCCAGCTCTTTCATGAATACCTACTAACTTAATGATGATGGTCTCCATATTATTGATGATGATGATGGTAATGACGATGGTTTTTGTTTGATAACGACGACTTATAAGATGGTTTCTATACTGATTAGAGCTCTCAAGAACTGCCCTCAATGTTGTGCTTTGCCTCTGGTCACTTCCTGTCAGCACCTGTGTGTCCAATCAGACTCAAAGCTGATCGTTTGCTCTTACTCACATTGTTCCCTTTTTTCTAGATCCTTGCTTGTGTTGTTCTTACTCTCTGATGTATGTTGCTTTGGAGAAAAGCGTCATGTGTTATGTGTTATGTTTTGGTTTTGTAAAGTTTTTGGTTGTTTCCATACAACTGATGCAAAAACAATCTTGCATTATTGGTTTTGAAGCACGTGACCTAAACTTCTCCTCAATCAGACATCACATCGGTGTGAAGCCATGACCAGAAAGTAATCTTTAATAACATATTTTCTAAATTTTTCCCAACATTGATCTGACCCCATGCGAGGAGCTGTAGCACCAACGACCGTCTGATTTCCTTTAAATAGTTACTTTCCCTCTCATCATGTGTTCAGTTGTGTCTATTTTAACATGAAATGGATCTTTTATCCAAACTGAACTCTCCCAGAATCCACCACATATCTATTTATAATGAACCAGTCTGTTTCACGATTACAACTACTGAGGGAAGTCTACTGAGTGAAAACGAGAAAAAAAAGAGGGAACAGAGAGAGAGAGAGAGAGAGAGAAAGAAAGAGGTCCATTCAAAGAGCCCGAGGCACACTGACCAGACGTATTGTCTACCGTCCTGCTGAGCGAGAGGAGGAGGAGAGAAATGGAGGAACATGATGGAGGAAAGGAGGCCAAAAACGAGGAGAGGAGAAATAGAGGACCATAAGGAGCTGCTGCTCACGAGCATGGACAGAAAACCAAGGTTACAGCGAATACAGGAGGTTTTTTTAAAGAAGGGAAAGGGACCCAATTACTCTATCTTACTTGGACAGGAAGTAAACAAATGCTTAAAGGAAGAATGTACCAAATATGATTGGTCAATCGTACAGCTTAATGTGAGTATTTGCTGTGGAAAATGTAAACAAAGGTCGTTCATCACTCTGACACCTACTCAGCGTTTGTGGTTACAGGCGGCAAAAATTAAGATGAAGTCAATATACTCGCTGAGCGTCTGGTCGGCCAAAAACTCCTCAAAGGAGCTTTAAAACTCTGTCATTAAAGGCATCACCTCAGACAACGGGCATGGCTTTTCCAATTTAAATCAATCGGAATCCAAGAAATCGCTGTCGAGAAATATCCCCCAATCCATAATTGTGACCCCAATGGAAGCTCAAAGAAACACTTGAGCACAGTCAGTGGGATACGTCCAATCGGGGACAAAAAACAATAAAAAGTATTGACGTAAAGTGTAGTAAAATGAAGTTTTTCAAATTTAAGAATGAACACTTGGTAACGGAGAAGAGGGTGGGAATAAAGATGGAGAATGGAGTAGAGGTCAGGACTGCATTCACACATTGATTACTGAAGAACACCTTGACAAACACACACACACACACACACACACACACACAAGATGCATATACTGATATAGGAAACAGCCCTACACACTCATGGACACACACACACACACACACACACACACACACACACACACACACACACACACACACACACACACACACACACACACAGTAAGAACGCCCGCTCCGCCTCAATGCAACCAGAAGACAATCAATATCGAGGGCAGAGCCACAATACTGTTCTCCATCATGACTATCAAACACACACACGCGCGCACACACACACACACACACACACACACACACTCTTTCTCTCTCAGATCGATGGCTGTCCGCTGTGTCCACGGTTACCCAGCATCGACCCCGTCGCTAATGGCGACCACGGAACCTTGGGAATTAGTGTGTGATTGATTGACAGACTGCTTCAAAGACACACGCATCATATAGAATCAGTGTGTGTGTGTGTGTGTGTGTGTGTGTGTGTATGAGAGAGAATATATATATTCCTGTGTGTGTGTGTGTTCAGTGGTCCCCCGTGGGTTGTCCATACGTTGTTTACGCATCTCTTTTTCCTTCCTGTGCATCCTAATGCTCTCCGAAGGACAAAAGAGAGAGAGGAGTGGAGGACAAGACGAGCAAAAAGTAAGAAAAAGAGTAAGTCAGGATTACGTCAGAAAAGAAGTGAATCGTCAGCGTAACGTGACAACAAGAAAAACGGCAGGGCTGAGGCGTCTCCTCAGTGCACAGACGATGATGACTTTACTCAGCCTGGTTGAAAAGGCCACAAGTTGCAGGGAGGGGGAAGTAACACCTGACTTAAACTTTTTAGCACTACTTACTTTACTTTTTCCCCCGTGCCAATGTCAAATCATGTTTCCCTCCGACATGTAAGACCATTTTTGCCTGTTTATATACCATTTCATCATAGCGTTGTTGTTAGCCACATTAGCACTCTGGCTTTTGAGTTTTCTGATGTTTGGCTGTTTCATCACTTCGGTTTACTCGTCGTTTTCCTTCTTGTTCATCTTGACGCTTTCCAAAAAAACACAAAGGAAAAAGCGGCAAAAGTAAGAAAAAAGGTAAGTCAGGATTACGTTAGAAAAGCGGTAAATCGTCAGCGTAACAAGACAACGCTGGGGTCTGGGACATCAACGCTTAAGGGAGT